ATCCTGCTCCATCGTCCTTTCCGACACTTCGCGGGAATGTTCAGGCGTACTTCTGCGAATTTTATCATCGTGAATTACAATCGGGCATTATCGATAATTTGAATGATGTGAAAAAATTTTTTTAATTCTCCCTTTATCGTCGTCACGACATTGACAAAATGTTTGTTTGTTTGGTTGTTTGTTTGTTTGTTTGTTTTTTTTTTTTTTTTGGAACAATATTTGTTATACGCGAGATTGAGACAATTCGTTTCGTAAACTGTTGGTGATGATGTTGAGCGACCCTTATGTATGTATTTATGCATTTTCTTGTTTCGCCGTTCGTTGTCGCGCGAACTCGTCTTAACTTTGAAGAAACGCTTGGTCGAGCCATTGAGTTTACTTCTTCGATGCTCGCGAGATTACATGTTTGAAGTATTACTTTCAAGCTTGGCTTTATAACTCGCAAAGAAATGTTGCTTTCTAGCGAAGCGAGCCAATGCCGGCGATTGCTCGTCGGGTGATTCATTGTTGCAATTAAACGCTTTGGAACATTGGCAAAATACTTACGTAAGATTACTTTGCTGTTGCATGGAAAGTGATGCCATGGCAGAGACCGTTTCGGTCTCGTCGTGTTCCTTTTGACTCGCCTCTATCGCACTCATTGCCACCGTATGGGCCATTAGCTTAACGCACGGCCAATGTGACATCTGAAAGATTATATTCGCTTATTAGTTTTTATTATGTGCCGAGCGTTCGCCTTGAACAACGTCGTTCGATAAATTATTAGGGGGGCCAAGAATACTTTGTTGTATTTCGACATCGATAACAATTACGAAGTTATATTAGCATTGTGTGCTAAGAGCAGGTTATTATTAAAATGGTAGACTCGAGCATTGCTGCGATTATAAAGATAAACGCTATTTTAAGCCAATGCACATACAAAATGACGTTTTAAAAATTGAATTCACATTGCTTAAATAAGATTGAGGGGAGGGAATAGGAGGGATGACGAGGTACATACGTGCAGTTGTACGTATATTGACGGCCACTTGTTCGTTAGTAATGAGTTGCGACGAATCGGTTACATTATAATTGTTCAAAATGCAATAAGACGTAATCTGCTAGGTAATTTGGACGAATAAACATATTTTTTTAATTAACCGTTGACGCTTATAAATTGAAATAAATGAATAATGAGGCTTATGTTCATCAAACGTTCTCTTCGTTATTTCTTTCGTCACACAAGCTCCCACTGCTTGCAATGAAATATATATATATATATATATATATATAATAATGATATAAATTAAGGATATTAAACTATCAACGACGTAAAAAAATATAGTAATAAGAAAAACGTTGCAAGACGTTAAAGTGTCATTAACTAATTATTGAAAAATCTCCCTTTAATTATTACGACGTTTAGAGAAAGCCATTTCAATTCTACGCCGCACAGTATATTTACGTGGTTATCATGAAATTATAAAATATGAGCCTTAAAATACAATAAATTGCTAATCTGGTTTAATGCTGGATATGGCTTTAGGCAGGCGCCTTACGTACCCTTTGATTTTATAATCGACACATCGCAATAATAAAAGAAAGAGCATCAACTAGCGATAAATTTATCGAACTAAGCGCGCACGAAAAGGATCTGAATAATTTATATAACGCTGAGCGGCAGATGTTGATTACCTTATTGAAAAAATTTTCAAAGATAATTTAACATTTTAAATAACGACGAGACGCGTGAAATGATATGTTACGCGCAAGTCGGCGAACATTGTCGACGTTATCTTTCAAAACAATCGAATAATAACGCACACGTACACACGCGTCGCTTTAACGAATAACATAATTTAAGAGGTCGAACATTACGAGCCGTCCCAAGCAATTATCTTATCACAAGGCTTTATTATTATTACTGGCTTTGTACAATTACGTTATACCTTTTTATAAAAAGTGTAAATATTGTAACGCGCGAAACACACCTTTTTTATGTGTACCAAAGGCGATTAAGCGTTTTAAATGCCGCGGTTTTAATGAAAATTCGAAATAACGATAGCAAAACGGCGAGCCTCAAACGTTTAATGTTTGCTTCCGTCGTTGGCCTCGTGCATGGTAATTAGGAAAACGTTGACTGACTGCCACAACTGCCACAACTGCCACAAACGTCGCAAACGTCGCAAACGTCACGACTGTCATGACCGTCACGTGACACGCGGCATTGATTGGTTGACGGGATTGGTTGGGTGGACGGAGGCGACAAGGTCGTCTATGGGAGGGACGAGAGGGATGGCTTACTTGTATGGCGATGGTCTTCTGCAGCGTGTCGATCGCATTCTGGCAGGGGATCCTCGTGAGCTCCTCGTCCCTGATCGGCGTGGGCTCGTCGCCGAGGAGGGCCCTTACGCACTCCTGAGCCGAGTCGCATATCGCGGCGAGGTCGTAGCCGCCCTCGAGGGCGAGGACGAGCTTGCCGTTGGCGAGGCCAGCGAGCATCTGGGTCATGCGGCCGAAGCACGCGGGACTGACCTTGTAGCCGCCGAGAGGCGCCGGGTGGCCGCTTGCTGCGTCGAAGCCCGCCGATACCAGCACGAGGTCCGGATCGAAGTCCTTGGCCACGGGCATTACCACGGACCGGAACGCGGCCAGGTACTCGGCGTCGCCCATCGGCGGATTGAGCCCGCCCGACCAGGCCACGTTCACGTTGTAGCCGAGGCCCTCCCCGGCCCCGCACTCCGTCGGACCACCCGTGCCCGGGAAGAAGTTGCCGTCGTCGTGCCTGTGGATTGACAGATACAGCACCCGCGGATCGTCGTAGAACATCTGCTGCGTCCCGTTCCCGTGGTGCACGTCCTGCAAGCGAAGTCACGGACCGTTAACGATGCCGATGTCGAAATGCTGCGGCGACACTCTTAATACAGAGCGACCGCGCCCCTTTGCCATTTTCGCATATTCAACGCGACGTTCCCTTCCCCGCCCTCCTACTACCCATAATCATAATAAAGCAAATGCCGTAGCGCTGGGTACAGTTCGCTGCCTTATCGGCCACAAGTGCGACGGACGTCACGCGACGAAACCCCAATATTATGAATAATTACAATAATAACGATCATAATAACGATATTTGATAATATCGATGATAATTCTAATAACAGCAATAACAGCAACAACAATAATAATGACGATCATGAAAAATAATAATAATAAGATGAAAGAAAAAAAATTCAAGGGCCCTACTAATGTTGCTGTTGCTGCTGCTGTTGCTGCTGCTGCTGCTGCTGCTGCTGCTGCTGCTGCTGCTGCTGCTGCTGCTGCTGGCACCGCTGCCTCTCTTCTTCTATCAACTTCGTTGTTCCTTCCTCCCTCTTTTGCCTCTCGTTTCGCGCAATTTCATCTTTCAAGACTCGTAAAGACGATAAGAACGAGATATTTAACGGGTACGCGTAACAGGAGCGCACGAGCCCGCTGGAGCCACGTCGCGACCATTAAATCGATCAATTTTGAGGGATTTGTGTCGTAACTGCCGAGCGGCGTGGGGGATTGGGGGGGGGATTGTGTATGTGTGTAGGGGGAGGGGCGAAGGAGGTGTGAGGCGGTGTCATTATAAAAGGGCGAATTTTTCAACGAGGCTGTAATGTGATATTGCGAACGCTCGCCGAGATATCTAAAGATGATTGTTATCAATTTCCCGGCGGTCCTGGCGGCCTCCGCATGTATTAGGATGCCTCGGGCGATTAGTTGCGTAGAAGATATCTAAAAAAAGCATCTTGAAAGCATCTGGAAAGCGCGTCGGGCACGAGACACACGACGATGGGAGGTATTAGGAGAGCAGAAGGAAGGTAGACGGGAGAGAGCGTCGCTCGTTCGCTCTTGTAACGTATTTTGAAATCACGAGCAGCCCAACAGTTTTTTTTTTTTTATTATTATTATATTGCGCTCGGCTTACGTAATAACCATGTATTGCGCCCGCGCGCGCAATCACTAATGGTAAGCGTACCATTCGTTAATATAAACATTATCAACTTATTAAATCGTTCTGCGGGCTTAAGGGCAAATTGGCCGTGGGTCTCCTTCGCCCGGCGCAAGTAATCCTTAAAAGAATAGCGGAATGGGGCGCGTCGCAATGAGGAAATGAGTTGACTGGTCCGTACCCAATCCAGGATAAGTATCTTCCGGAGATCGAGTTTCTGAAGTAGTAGTTTGGCGGCAATGGCGACGGAGTTGAAGAAGCAGAAGCCCATCGCCTGGTTGGCCTCGGCGTGGTGCCCGGGTGGGCGCACGACCGCGAAGCCGTTCCTTATGTCGCCCATCGCGGCTTTGAACGCCAGCTCGACGACGCAGCCGACGGCCATCCTGGCGGCCGGCGCCGTATGTATCTCGTTCCACGTGGTGTCGCTATCGACACCAATGCCGCCACAGGGCAGCTGCACGAAGCTCGTGATCGGGATCTTGGACATATCCAGCTTCTGGCGTGTCAAGGGGTTCGTGCCTGCGTCAAAGAGACGACGAGCTCGTCTTAAGATAAGTTTCAAGCTTTTGTTAACCTCGTCATTTGTCCCGTACGATGATCTTTTAACGAACCATATTGGTCCAGCCTCGATCGCGTCACGACAATTATTCCCATTAGCGGAAATAACATAAACTTTCTAGCCACTCTACTAATACTCTACTGTCAATTAAAGCATCGCATACATTGGCTATTGTTATTATTTTAGAGTGGCTAATGTTACTTAAATCTCAAATCATAAATTTCGGGATAAATAATTATGTCGCGTGATGAAACGTTAGAGACAAGTTTGGCCGCTGGATTAAGGCGACGCGGACGCGGCATTACGTTGAACCATCGGATTTTGGAGAAAAAGTGCTCCTCTATCGGACAACGGCGAGCGACGATTATTTATTTAGTTATTATGATTAACGAGGCAAATACTTTATATGTGTGTGCGAGGTTGGAATTGTCGAGGGCCAGTGCTGGTAGAGTCGAAGAGCTCCGAGTCGCTCGATTTGATCTCTTCTCCTCTCCTCTACACTTCCCGATTGTTCCCATAGATCATTCCCATAATCCCGATTACCCTCGGTCCTACGTTCCCCTTCGCCCTTCGCGCTCGCCGTCGCATTCGAGATCACTTACCGAAGAGGAATGCGTGCGCCTCGGTGTGACAGGTCTGGATCTCCTCGAGGGTGGCCTTGCGCGAACGTACCCGATCGCAGCGCTGTAGCAGCCCCGTTTCCGAGAGCCTCGCCCAGACACTCTGGAGCCGGCCACCGTGTTCCGGGTGGCCGCGCACGGTCTCACCGCAGGCGCACGCGTGCTTGAGCATGAGAGGATCGTAGGCGAGGCCCGTGGTCGGCTGCTCCCGGGGACTCCTCGCGTACACCTCGGCAGCGGCTACGGCACCTTGGGGACCTGTGATGGTCGCCGAGTCAACGAGACGACGACGACGACGACATTAGTTGCCAAATTTTTGTGAAAATGTTTGTGAAAATATTTGTGAAAATGTTTGGGCCCTATCCTTTGTACTGCGACGCGACTGTTTTGCGCAAAGTTTCTTCCATTATCATATTTCCGCTCGCTCGCTCACTATCGACGACTATTTTGACGCTTATTCAACGTTCAATTCGTACTTTTGCCACGTTCATCTGTTACGGGAATTGCAATGGTAGGGGAGGGGAATTGTTTTTTTTTTAAACGTTCGCGCGGCTTACCGAATCTTTTCTTCGTGCGGATTAAATTATTTATAGGTTTTTTTTTTTTTTTTTTTTTTTTTTTTAAATAAAAAAAAGAATTTTTTTTTTTTTTTTTTTAAATGAAACAATAGATGATATTAGATAGACGATAATGAAAGAGCGATAGAGAAGAATGAAATGTGTAATGTGTAATTGTGTTGGTGACAGAGTATCTTTTCTTCGGCTCTATATTGGATTTAAATGCGAATCTCCGAAGTCTTATAGTAAAATGCGAAAATAATACGGATGCCTGTCGCGTCGTGCAGAGAAGCGCTAACGTGAGCATTGGGGCGAAGACGGGTGGGTGGTGGGATTGGTGGAGGGTGGTAAGAGTGAGGAAGGAGGATGAGACAGAGGGAAGATGGAGGAGGAGGAGGAGGGACACACGTTATTCCAGCTCGGTGGCCATTGAACTGTAGATCGTAAATAATGGATATAAATCGACTTTACGTACTAAGTCCATTAGAGAAGAAGTTATAGGTATTATTTATATTAGTCTTGGAAGAGTGAGATTGATGGAGTCCGAATGAGAAGGGTCGCGTATAAAGACTTTATATCGTTTTACCGTTGGCATCTTCTATCGACTTCAGAGTCATGGCTATAGAAAGGGAGCCCTCGAAGATAAGTCGCCACCTTAATAATATAAACGAGAATGTGTTCTCGAGATAATAAGATTATTTTCGAAGGAGAAGGAAAAGATAAAAGAGATGGTGAATATAGAGGGAACTTCGCCAGGTGAAGTATGATTTCACCATGCTCGTGGAACCGGGATGATGGGGAATTTTTAATATTTTGAAGGAGACCACGGTATTTATGAATGCGCAAATTGTAAATCCTCTTGAATAATGTGCGAAGCAAAGATAATTATCGTAAGCGGAAGAATAATTAATTTGATGTTAAATACATAGTATAAAGACCAAAGAAACCATATGCGGAGATCACGTAATTCTTAAGTGTCGTTTGTATGTAAAGACAAGTAGAGATCGTTCTCGCATACTAAAATGTCTATTATTTAATAAAAAGTTTAATTCACTCGACAGTTTTAAGGTTTCCGTTTACATAATGCTAGCCGAGATTGTCTCTTAAATATCTTGCTAAAGAATTATGGAAATTTATAATTTGTCATTCCAGTGTGGAGGGGTGAGTCGATAAAGGAAAACTATCTTCGACACTTAAATAGACGATAAAAATAAATTGCTAATCCTTTGATCTAATCCAGTTGATTTTAATCTTACCACTCCCACAAAGCATTAATACTATTTTTATACGCGATAATTTCTCACGACAGTTTTTTCCCTCCATAAAACCCACCCAAGTCTACGACAGACTTTAAAATATCAGATATTAAAGACAAACGTCTGAAAATCATCGCCATTTCATTTGCAACCAAGACAATTCTCGTACGAAATAATAATAATAATCCATGAGATTGAGATTAATCAATGAAATATTTAATAATAAATATTACGAATGAGAAAATGGAGAGCGAGTCATAAGGGGGAGGAGGATGGTGATAGAGGCGAAGGTGTTAATGGCGAGCGGTTTACCGATGACTCGAGTGATGACTTACCGAGGTGGACGAGCGGACTGGAAAGCGCCCGGGACAGGGGCCTCACCGACTGGGAGACTCTCCCCGGGTACGCGGTTGCGTCCACGGCTTGCATCGTGTGTCGCATCATCAAGTCCCTCTGCTGCTGGAGGAACTGCTCTCGGTCGCGCTGTTGCTTCGAAATCTCGCTCTCCTCGACACCGACGCTGTTTCCGGCTGTATCACACAACACGCCAGTTACTTCATTTCAAGAAGGGAGCTTTTAAAGCAACGGCCCAGCGACCGCTGGGTCTCAATCGAATTGAGAGCCGAGGAACTTTTGACCTTGAAATCGCGTCTAATTTTCCCGCTGTAGCAGCGCTTCACGAATTCAACCATTCCACTTTTCATTCCAGCTACTTTTAAACTTTTAAACGTCATGTGCCCTCGAAACACCCAATCTCTCTACCTCTCTCCCTGTAGCGGATAATCAGTGGTACTTTCGACCTTGTGCATTGGCAATGAGCTTGGCCGTCACGCGATTCCTTAAATCGTTCCTCCGAACGAAAATACTACCAACTAAGGAGCGAGAGAGAGAGAGAGAGAGAGAGAGAGAGAGAGAGAGAGAAAGTGCGACTACGTAGAGTAGAGCGTAAGGAAGGGAAGGCTTTCTTTGCTTTTTTTTTTTTTTTTTAAAAACGTTAGAAAAAAATTAATACCAGACTGACCGGGGATATCCTTTTTGCCGGTGAGATCGATGACTTCGGACTCCTCGGATTCGGGTGCTTCCTCGAGCTGCTGTCCGGGCTGCCCGCGGGATCCGACCCGCGTGAGCACCGTCTGCCGTATCTGCTGCTTAAGGTAATTATGGGTCTGTTGCTGCTCGTGGAGCTGCTTCTCCGCGAGGTAGTCCTCGTAGTGGGTAGTCGCGGGGGGTGCCATCATGCCGCCCTGGAGCATCGGGTGGCCCAGCGGCAGAGGAGCCGACTGCGTTCTACCTGCGGATGAGAGGCGACGCGGTCCGGTAAGACGAGGGGTGCCCGGGGCCGACTCGGACGCCACCTAACAGCCACATCCAAATGGAAATCGAGCACGAGCTTGCCCTGACCCATCCTCGCCTACTCGTGCCAATGATTTTCAATCGATCTACGAGAGACGCGCCCTCTCCTCCATCGCACTTGCGCAAAGAATTTTTATCCAAATTTCTTACTAGAGTTTATTTATTTCTTTTTGCTTTTTTTTTTGTTTTTTTGTTTTTTGTTTTTTTTTTTTTCTTTTCCATCCGAACGAAAAGCGCCTAATAATTAATTACCTAATGGCTTACATATTTCAGTGGAACTTTGGATTTTATATCCCGAATATCGAGCAATTACGTTAAAAATTTGCCTGACTATTCAGGAAGCCCATTTTCGCGTGCTTAGCCAAGATTCGGTAAGATTTCAAAATGTCCCGCGACTAGTGACACTTGAATTGGCTGGACAATTAATATACGCGAATCTAGAGATTGATCGAATGAACGAATTAGAAAATCCGATCAGACAGCGTCGGTAACACATTGCCCGGGCAATAACTCAATGAGAAATAAAGGAAGCCGGCATTGATAATTCGCCAAGAAAAGACTAGAGAATCGACTAAGGTTGGCATTATTTTGAAATTGGCAGGTGCGCCACTTACAGGCCCGTTTCACGAATAGCCCGAGAGCATAACGAAAGCTTCACTTTCGATTCCTTCTCCGATACTTTGGACGTGGCTTTAAGGTAGCGCAAAATCGGCAAAAGTGCACGAGGTGCGTCTTCCTCATGGATTCATATTTTTCGAATGATATTCGAATGATTGACGTTCGATCGAGGGAGAAAATTAAGGCTCGTTCAAGCCTCATGAAATATTAATCGTCCCAGGACTCGACGGCATTAGTGGTTTTGCGCTTTGGTTCCCCTCAATAGCCGCGCCATTAGTTTTTTAAAATATTACCCGGATATAATTAAATGCGCGAGAAAGTCAGATAATTTGCATAAAGCAACGGACATGACATGGCGACGACACGAGTGCGAATCATCATTCATTTCTCGTACGTTACGTGCGACAGGCGATAATTAAAACGTTCTCCCGTACGATTACCACATCGATCAAATGTATATCGATAAATATAAAAGGCAGGAACGAAAAAGCCACCGGCTCGTCGTCGATCACCATTTACCGATCAACGCCAAAACAAACATTCTCCTCTGCCAAAAGACGCGCATCATCAATAATCAAACACACCGTCGAACGACTAATGCAAAGAAATCGTCATTTACCCGCGGAGAATCTCTATGTAACGCGAACGGGAAAACCAATGTCATAGGGAGAGTCGTACATAAATAACCCTCTGCTGCATCAGGCGGAAGGTGTCCGTCCCGTGGGTAACGTGGCTCGTCCAAGACTCCGAAAACAAGAATCCATGACGCGGACTCTGGCCTCGCACGAAAGCAAAAAATTCAAAGAAGTGGGGTAACATACTACCTAGTGGCCGGTGGCCAGCCTTATGAAGCCTCGCGTGCGCCACCTGCGTATCCGTAATGGGCGTCGGATGGTAAACCGGGTGCTGGCGACTGCCGCTCGAGTTTCCCCCGTTGCTCCCACCGCCGCCTCCGGAGACGGCTGCACCACTGGCGGCGGCGGAACTGGCGGCGCCTACGACGCCGCCGCTGCTGCCTCCGTTGCCGGTACCACCACCACCACCGCCACCACCACCGACACCGCTGACGCTGCTGATACCACCGGCGACTAAGTTGCCAACGTTGCCGACATTAGCACCACTGACACCGACACCGCTTCCGGTGCCACCGCCTCCGCCGCCGACGCCGACGCCGACACCACCACCATTGCCGGCGCCACTACCACCGCCGCTAACGCCACCGCCGCCGCCATTGCCGCCACCGCCGCTGCTATTGCTGCCGCCCCCACTGCCGACGCCACCTCCACCGCCACCGCTACTGCCATTACTGCCACTAACCACCGCCTGCTCGAGGCTCTGCATTTGTTTGTGAATGTAGCTGGGCTCGCCGTCGATGACCGTGAGGGAGGGGTAAAAGGGCAGAGTACCCGGCAACATTTGTCCGGTGAGGGGCATCCCGAGTCGCGCCGTGAAAGCGGCTCGCACCTCCGCCTCCGAGACCGGCGCCAGCTTCGTGCCACCCTAAGTATAGATGGGGTATATCGTGAGGGATCGTCGACGTTTGTGAGAGACGAGTAAGCCAAGGATTTGCCCGAGGGTGCAGGCTCTCTCCGGTACTACTCAATATTGTCGAGACTCTTGTCGACAGTCGCCGAGATAATATGGTAGCGGGACGTGAGCTGATGTCCTCGAGCCTCGAGCTTTCATCCTTGGCCTCTCGTAATATTAGGCGACTGAGAGGGACGTAGCCGTTGAGAGGCGAATGGGCGAACATCCGCGTGGACAAGCTCTCACCTCGAGATGCCTCGAGAGTCGAATACTCACCACCGTTGAGCTGGAAGGCACGTGGGGCCTGCCGAGGGAGATGTTGGGCATCGATGGCGAACTAAATAGCGAGAGGTCGGAGAGGCTGCCCTGTTGGCTGCCGCTAGTCAGTTGGCCGCCGTAGGTCGCGCCCTCGCCCTCCTCCTGGATCGGGGTGCTCGAGCCACCGCCGGCCGTCGGTGATGCCTGGGGGTTGTTGACCGTAGGCGGTGAATTCGGCCCGGACTCGGGATTACTGCCGGAGTCTGAAAGTGGATGGACCGTCAGCGCGACCGAATCGAGGCTCCGCTCATTGGCGGTCGAGCCTCGTTGCCGCTCGTGCGCCAACATACTCGCATACATCCACCCGAGGGTGAATAATCGTCGCGAAACGAAGGTACGTGCGAGCAGCCGAGAGCATATACATTTATCATGGCGTTCTTCCCGTTCGTTGATGCACGTTTGTCCTTGCGTACACTCATCTAAGACTTTGTTGATACTTAATAACCGTCATTTAGTTGTATTTCGAATTGTTGAAAAATTTGTCATTAATTTATGAAAACGATCGATACCGTAGAATATCGTGCAGTAAGTGTACTACGATATATGCGTAATTAAATGATCGTTATTGGGATTGACAGATTGTACTTTTCATGAAATTGTAATCGTCCACTTGGTGCATTCATTACAAAAGAGCACAATTTTTACTAAATTCTATCGTTTTCCGCTTGACAAAAAAAAAAAAAAAAAAAAAAAAAAAAAAAAAAAAAAAAAAAAAATAAATAAAAAGAAAAATAAAAAATAAAAAATAAAATAGAAAAACTCGACGTTAAATTTATTATTATTATTATTATTATTATTATTATTATTATTATTATTATTATTTATTTATTAATTATTATTTATTATTTATTATTTATTAATTATTATTCATTATTATTATTGTCATTCGTTTAATCTAGCACACGAAAACCGCAACGATTATAAAAAAAACTAGTACAGCTATTTGAAAATTAATTTTAATTAAATTTATAGATACTTACTTGAAATTATTTTACTTTAATTATTAATCAACTATTAACACAAGATAATATTTGGTAATTCGAACGCATCTAATGTTTAGTTAAATCAAGTCGAATATCTACATATAAATGCATACGTACGTATATGTGTATTCGTATGTAATAAAAACCAAGACATAAAAGTTAATTTTTTTTTTTTTTAATGGAAAGAGGAAGAAGATTTATTTGAAAACAATGTAACTCGAGTAATCCTTAATTTGTTAGTTTAAAATTTTGTCAAATTTAATGTAAACCTAAAAAAGCATGAACTAAATGCTTGGAATAATCGACGTATCTCGTGATTCACTCATTTACTCATTAATTTTGACTTGCAGATTGCGACAGCAAATTGAGGATACTCCTGCGAGTACTTAATAAACAAAGCTGCACGCGTGTATGTAGTAATTTTTGTCATTTGTTAATGTTGGTCATGCGGTTACAAGACACTAGCAGAAAAATTCAAATCAACAATCGATTAATTGTAAACGGGTGCAGCCAAGTTCCATCGGGCCGTCACCGGACGTTCGAAGGAATCGCTGGCTCGAAAACAAATCAGGGCAATCCATATTCACACTCATTTTGCAAATTCAGTTTTTCGTGAAATTGCCTGGAGAACAGTGCGACACGATCGATGGTCTATTCATATAATAATAATGTGGCCAATAAGTCTAATGACGCATTGTAAAAGTAACGATAGTTATGTTGGGCAATATGAGAAATTCCGTCAATGCACATAACGTCTTGCATTATTATGTTGAATGTTTATGAAATTTCACAATGATAATTACGTGTCGATTATACTGCGTTATTTATGTGCTATACATATGCACTCGTATTATTTAAATTACATATTTTACAAATAATACGGCAATTATATATTTAGAAATATAGCGAGTGTTTAATTATATTTTTCACCCCGATGCACATTTCTAGAATTATTTATACAATTCTATTTTCGTTTTAATTGTTTTTTTCTTTTCTTTTTTTTTTCTATCGAACATTAATTTAATGAAGTATTGCCGAGTATTTAATAACTATTAAATTAGTTGGCAAACTTCAAGCATTTACGGTACTAGTAGAAGTGCTGGAGAATAATTTCTTCACACAATTATTTAAACGACAATTGATTTTCATAAAGTGATTGCTCCAATACCGTTATAATGATTTTAAGAAAAACTTGAAAATTTAAGCTAAAAACACTATAAGTTTTAGGATGACTTACCCTTTGGAAATATCAAACTTTTCATTAATCTTTAACGATACATTTAAACATACGTATGTATAATACAAAAAAATATACAAAAAAAAAAAAAAATAAATAAATAAATAACTAAAGAAATACATAAATAAAATAAAAAGAACGAATATTGCGCCGATTGGTTTAAACGTAATACATCTTGACGAAGAAAACATTATTAAAGTAAAAAATCTACATACTATGTACATTTCTGCTTTTATTAATGCAATAAAATAACTCATTAAGAAATCGTTCGTAAGAGAGTGTGAAAGAGACGTTTAATCAACTCAATCTACGTAATAAAGAAATCACGATCCAATGGAATTATCAACAATATTAACATTGCGTTCAGTTCCTTCGCGTAAAAAGATTGTTTTTATCATATACACGGTTCTTGATGGCTTTGAGGGACTGCGAAAGAATTCATTACAAACAAAGCAACGAGGAATAAAGGCACTTAAAAATTTTCCGTCGAACGATTACCGCTGACTTTCACATTCTCCTTGAGAACAAGACGGTCGTGTACGGAGGCAAACACGCGTTTGAAAGAAACAAGAATGCATGTGCGATTCCCTCACGGTCCATGCGCGGTTAACGGCACTCGTCATTCATCCCCAAATATATTTCTCTCTCTCTCTCTCTCTCTCTCTCTCTCTCCCTTTCGCTCTGCGATGCTTACGTACGCGCGCGCTCCAGCGCGCGCGCGCACGCAAACTCGCGCGCAGATTTTGTTTAAGTGAGGGGAGACGTACTTGCAAGGAGTGACTTCCGCTTGAGGTGCGACAGGAGTCGATCCTTCCGTCGTGCCATTAGGGGTGAGTTTCTCGTGGCCGCCATGTTCCTCTCCATGACACGCTGCTTAAGTCGCACCTTCAGCAGATTCGGCTCCGAAGCTGGCCGAGAGATTCAGCCAGGGTTAGGTTAATTCTAATAAGCTTACAGTGTTCTAGGCCCGATCGTGTGCTTCTTTGTTTTTATTTATTTTTGATTTGTTTTTATTTTCTATGTTTGTTAAACAAGGGCGAGATTGCAAGATATGGTGACCTGTGCGTGTTTACGCGCCCCGGACGCATCGAACAAACAAATACCGATATTAAGAAAGCATGGAGTGCGGCTGCTGTCGATACGTCAAAATAGAAGCTCTAATTAATTATTATAACAATTGAGATTTACAACTGCTGTTATAAATGGGCGCGCGCGCGCGAGCTTGAAACATTTATTGATCGTTCTTAGTGGTGGTAGTGAGCTTATTCTTGAAATAATAAATCACTGTATCGAAAAGGAGCAAAACCTTTTGTTTCACGAAGGACAATATTTGCGTTAATCGCATACAAGTAAGTGATTCAGTGACTATTGAAAGTTGATTTGATTAGTCGCTCCTAAGCTTTGTACACTATGTGCGTGTTTGTACACTCGTTAATTTAATACTTAATTGGCATCGTAAAATTCCTGTTGGCTTAACGAAACGAACAAAGAGGTTTTTCAAATTATTAGTCACCATTGGCATTTTTCGCCTCGCAATTGTTCGCGGAAATCAGCGCGCTCGTTTTCCAGAATCGCCGGGATAAGCCCAGGCGTGCATCGTTTGCCCTTAAACCGTGGCATAATTAGTTACAAAGTAACACAGTACAGGGTAGCATCGGCCGTCACAGCCTCGTCAAAATGTCGTCTTAATCGAATTCGCATGCTCGCGTTGCCGATTCACTCCGACGATTAAACAAATCGTAAGCGAAATTCAAGCTCCGTCACTCAATCCCTTTGTGTACGAAAGGGGTATGTAATCGCGCCAGGTCCATAGCTTCCAAAACGATAACAATCAACAAAATCGATTAATCGTCAGCACAAGGGCTTACGCAAAATAAAATGAGGGAAAAACGTTGATACATGCTTTAGTTAAACGCACACATGCCAGTAACACAACCAGCAATTATTGTAAGTAAAAGAGGAGGAGAAGAAATAAAACAAAGAAAAACCAAGGCAATCAAAAAAGGGATTTGTTGGTCAGTTAGAGCGAGACTTCCGATCGTCGGGTCAGTTTGGGCTTACGATACCTGTCTTTCGTAGCGGGAAATCGTCGCTGAACTTTTCTTGAAGTATTTGTGGCATTCGGTAGGGATGCGATGCATTGGTGGAACTCGTCGAGTCCGACTGCGACTGCAACCTAGAAATTCAACGAAACCGATAAATGACGCTTACATTAATTTTAATCTCAGGCCGCTTCTGATTGCCTAGCATTGCTTAATGGGACTTTTTGTCTATCGAGCCGAAGTATAGAAGCGAGCCCCAGCAATTGTTAATAAATAAATAAATATATATATATATATATATATTCTCGTGATATGGCATCATCTATCGCGCGAACGCAATAAGGTAAAAACGTCATTGAAATTCAGTTAGATTGTAGTGTCCCCGGCTAAGGTATCGTTAACTTTAATATGATAAGGCGTAATGTTAATATTCAACTTGGCTTTTGCAATCCGATTGTTAATGTTGATTTTATTTTTGAAGCTTGTGTAAGCTGAAGGTCGTGTAGTTTTATCAATTTGTCGATACATAATCTACTTGGATTATCGATAACTTAATTAATAAAAAGTAATAAAATACTCCATGAAATCATTCGATAAATATGGTAGAGTAAAAAATTTATTTAGAAATATGGGCATAAGTGCTTATTACATTACGAAAAAGGCACTCTACGACTCAACACTAACCGGAATAATTTACAATTCATGCAATCAGACAAACTCAAACTGTTCCATTCCTTTACGTATATACGCGAACGTTAGCCTCGAAAAGAAAGAATGATATTTAATTCAACAGTGTGTTGAATATTGTCAATCATATAAATTCAATTATGGATATTAATTAATGGCCATTCTATTTCATAATAAATCTTAATACAATGATTATCGAAATTTGCGTAAATGGCGTCTTATTATTATCCCAATTATTTAAATAAATTAAAAATAATTCATATTAACGGGTAAAATATTATTTTTAAACATTCGTATTGTTATCGATTGTCAATATTTATGCTCCTTTTTCTATTTTTCCATTAACAATTAAATATTTAAACTTTTATTATGTTTACATTGAAGAAAAAAAAGTATAAACGTTTTTCACTCTCTCTCACTCACTCTCTCTCTCTCTCTCTCTCTCTCTCTCTCTCTCTCTCTCTCTCTCT